TCTCTCACTTTCTCTCCCTCTCTCTTCTTCTTCTTCCTCACCCTCGATTTCTCACTCGCTCGCTCGCTCGCTCTCTCTCTTCTCCTCCTCCTCTCTCTCTCTCTCTCTCTCTCTCTCTCTCTCTCTCTCTCTCTGTCTCTCACTTTCTCTCACTTTCTCTCACTTTCTCTCCCTCTCTCTTCTTCTTCTTCCTCACCCTCGCTTTCTCTCGCGCGTGAGTGCTCTGTCTCGCTTTCTCTCTTGTGCGCTCTCTCTATCTCTCTCGCGCACTCTCTTTGTTTCTCACACATGCTCTCACTCACTCTTCCTCCCTCTATCTCTCTCTCTTCCCCCTCTCTCTATCTCTCTATCGCCGCTGAGTGCCTCTCTCTCCCCTTGTCTCTTGACCGCTCGCGTGATTTTTTTTCCTAGGATAATCAAGAACATAGGGCTCTAGTCAGTCTAGTGAGCGCTGCCTTTGCTTGATACAAATCACGTGCCTCAAACTCTTGTTTTATGGTGCATTGTGACCCTAAACCTAACCCTATTTAAAAAAATATATAAAAAATTAAATTTTTACTTGAACAAACATTGTAAAAATTAATTGTTGTTATTAAATTGTTGTAAATAAATCATGTAAATATTTGCGTTAATTGTAAAAAAATTGTTAAATGGATAAAGAAATACAGAAAACAGGAAAATAATTAAAAACCAGATGGGATTCGATCCAACGACCTTTCATCCGTGGCGTTCGTGCTCTACGCGTTCGGCTATTCAGGATTATTGGAATTATGGATTATGGATGTGCTATGAATATGACGACACTGTGACATCATTGAGCGACGAAACAAGCTCAACCAATGGCAGCGCTCACTAGAGCCCTATGTTCTTGATTATCCTAGGGAAAAAAATCACGCCGACCGCTCTCTTTCTTTCAAGCCTCGAAGATGAGAGTAACAATGTACTCATTTTTGCGATATTATACCTTATAATGCACATCAAGGTTCAGGATTAACTTAAGATTACGGATAGGGGTAGGGTCAGGGTTAAGGTCAATGTCAGAGTTGGAGTTATGGTACTAAGGGTTAGGATCATGGTTGTGGTCAGGGTCAGGATTAATGAATCAATCAACCAATCAATCGTCAATCGATGACAGGCAATCGATCGACGACCTGAAGCCCCGGTGCTTGACAGCAACCCAAGTGACCTTTCGTAACCCTGCAACCTTTCGTGACCTTCACAATGGCCGAGACCTTCGGGAACTTTCAAGTCTCCCTGTGAAATTTCTCGACCACTCAAGTGACTTACGTGACCCCCCACATTCCTCGGTCCCTGCGACCTGGCACGACCTTTCCCGACCTCTTCATCCTCCTCCGCTTCCCCCTCCTCCTCTTCCTGCACCTCCTCCTCCTCCTCCTCTTCCTGCACCTCCTCCTCCTTCTCCTCCTCCTCCTCTTCCTGCACCTCCTCCTCCTCCTCCTCCACTTCCTCTTCCTGCACCTTCTCCTCCTCCTCCTCTTCCTGCACCTCCTTCTCCTCCTCCCCCTCCTCTTCCTGCACCTCCACTCCTCCTCCTCCTCTTCCTCCCCCTGCACCTCCTCCTCCTCTTCCTCCCCCTGCACCTCCTCCTCAGCACTCTCACCCTCGCTTTCTCTCGCATGCATGACATTTCACGACCACCACCACAACTTTCTGCAACCCCCCCAGAACTGTTTGCGACCCCCCACAACTTTCTGCGACCTCTGCGCGACCCCGCGTGCGACCTCTGTACGACCTTCTGGGCGACCTCTGTGCAACCTCGCATGTGACCTTTGTGCGACCCCGTGCACGACCTCACGCACGCGACCTCTGAGCGACCCCACACACACCTGGTAGTAGTTGGAGCGGTCGAGCTTCCATCCGGAGTCGTCCGGGGAGTCGTCGGGAACCTTCCCCATCCAGGACAGCGACAGCACGGAGCAGTCACTGCGCGCGTGCTCGTTCTTCTCAAAGTACAGATGCATGTCGCCCTCTAGTGACGGAGGCAGAGACGCCCCTCTAGTGGCGGTGGTGGCGGCGCCCCTCTAGCGGCGGCGCGATCTAGCAACAGCACCCTCTAGCGACAGCGCCCTCTAGCAGTGGCGCCCTATAGCGGCAGCACTCTCTAGCGACAGCGCCCCTCTAGCAGTGGCGCCCTCTAGCGGCAGCACTCTCTAGTGACAGCGCCTTCTAGTGGCAGCACCCTTTAGCGGTAACACCCTCGAGCGGTGGCGCCTACTAGCGGCCGTACGTAAGCGGCGTCGGAGGGACGCGAATGGCGGCGCCCCCTATCGCGGCGGCGAGCGGCTGTATCACCGGACGACAGGCATCCGATCGCCGGCGGCGCCCCCTGGCGGGCGATTAGAAGTCGCACGTTCTCAAATCCACGACGGCGGTGGCGAGGACAGACGTGTTAACTCGCTCACTCGCGTCGTTCCATCGGCGGAGAGTTTCGCGTCGTGCGATTCGTCAAATCACTGTTCGTACCAAGCAAGTGACCAATAACAGCGTAGCTACCAATATGCAGTAATGCAGTACTAGTATTCACAGTGTTAGAGTAAGTTAGTTGTACTACAGTTGTAGCAGTAAGCAGTAATACTACAATACTAGTAGTAGTTACTAGTATTCACACAGTGTTAGAGTACTAGTTCGTTGTACTCCAATTGTAAGCAGTATGCAGTAGTACTACAATACTAGTAAATAGTTACCGATATCAACACACTGATAGAGAGTAGTGATAGTATTCCAGCTGTAGCACTGGCAGTACTGTTACAGTACCGGTTCTAGTAGTAGTAGTAGTAGTAGTATTACTACTTGTACTAGTAGTACTAGTACTAGTAGTAGTTACCGGTAGGCCAGTATTCACACAGTGCTAGAGTACTACTGTACTACTAATAGTATTTCAGCAGTGGGCACTAGTATAAAAACTCCCGCTGTCCACTGCCACTGGAACTGCTGACTGCTGTCTGTCATCAGTCACTTCAAACAGGGGGAGGGGTCAATCGGAAGTGCGAACCCGTCTACAACTACAAGAATGTGTTAAACGCGATCCTGTTGACTAGTGCCAGTGCCAGTGGTAAGGAGGTAAGGGGAACCTGATAATAGACTGGCACCAACTGCGTCGCCGCCAAACCACAACAACACGTAAAATCTGGCGAGATATTCTTCTTCTTCTTCGTCGTCGTGCAGCAGTTCTCTCGCTGTCGGTTCAGAGTAACGATCGCGAAGCAGAAAGAGATCACGCACTATCCATCACACACGCTTAGAGCTACAGCCTACAGTAGCGACAGCATCAGCAGCTGTAGCAGCAGTACCCATTGGAGCACAGCGATGGCGCTATGATCAACGATCTCTCTCTCTCTTTCGTTCTGCCAGCAGCCGTAGACATATTGTCGTGTGTCGTCTGCATTTCCACGGCTGCCGGACAACAAGCCACACGCCCCGCAGTACTCACAACCTGCGTAGAAGGGTGAAAAGTCCCGTGTGTTGTGTGTTAGAGAGTCAAGCGGGGAGAATTTGGCCGAGGCGTTCTACGCCATTCACAAAACAAAATATTGGTCGAGCAGCGTTGCGCATGCGCGGCAACGGGACCGCGACCAGTCTATCGTCATCGTTCGACCGCTGTTGTGTTGTATTCTCCGTATATATAGTCTCTCCCTTTCTCTCTCTTTCTCTCTCTCTCTCTCTCTCTCTCTCTCTCTCTCTCTCTCTCAACCATCTCTCTTGTGCTCCTCCACACTCTCCTCTTCTCTTCTCTCTTTCTCTCTCTCTC